ATATATATATATATATATATATCGTATTTTTTATCATAGAAAAAATACAAACCTTGCTATTCTAAGAGACGACTGCCATTGCTGTTGATGGTGAAAGTAATTAAGAGTAAAAGATTGAATTCAGCAGTTGCAAGTGCAGAGATAGAATGAAAAGTGTTGTTAAATATAGAAGGAGACTGAAAGCCAGGTCATTGTTAAAAGAGCTGACAGAGACCATCATTGGCCAAGAAGTGGTTTAGTTCTTCTTTTACCTGGCTGGAAAGCTATATCAAGCTCATCTTATTTACTAATTAAGTCGTTAATGAAAAGAATAGATCTAATTAAATGAGAGTAGATTTAAATTTGTGTTGTAGACGCAACATCGAAATAAGGGCAATCAGCATTAGAATAGAGAAAGAAAGAGTGAACAATAGAAGCTCAAAGAATTAGACTAGACTTGTATTGTTTCCCGTAGTATACCCATTCATTGCGGTGTCTTATGATCCCTTTTCTTACATCATAACTCTATTGATATATGATGTGATATAATGGTTATATGAATGAAATGAATGTTATAATAATGGCACGTGATGTGAGGCATGCCTAACTTATGATATACGGAGTAGTAACGTTGTCTCCTAAGGAATAAATGATCCTATAACATACTCGATAATTGATCAGTGGGATAAGTCGATGAGTTAATTGGGTGTCAAGTTTTCTGAGGTCGAATTAGTTTTGCATAGTGCCCAAATCAATCTTTGAGCAAGTTCATGATTCTATCTTAATTCAGGTGCCATCAGAGAACTCTAGGGTCATATGGATAAGAGGGAAATTGATGCCTTGTTGATGTCAATTCTTCAGCCCTTGCTATGCTTGTACAAACATAAACCTAAATGGATCTGATCATGCTGACTCGTAGGTGTGATCCATTGGTTAATGGCTCGGAGTTGAATTATCATATATTGAACAATGAAGTAACTTATCGGGTTGGTAAATGGGACTTAGACTAACAAATTTTGGGGTGTATATGAAAAATTGCTAAAAATGATGGCAAGTGATATAACTAAAATTATTCAATGGCTATTTGGTTGGCAGGAAAAGTAATGCATGTTTAAAGTGAACACAATATAGAACTAATGCATTACATTTGGAATAATTTGGATGAGTTTAGATCAATATAAAATAAATTTAAAATTTATGTTTCTTTATTGGATTTGAAGAAAACTGAATTCAACATAAAATATGAACGTTTGGGACGACACTGACAGACGATAGTAGGTGGGTGCTACTTAGTCTCCTAAAAATGTGATGGAAAGTAAAATGAAAACAATGGAGATGTAATGATTATATTTGAATTTAATCTGTATGATTGGAGCCTTGGCAAGTTTGGCATGAAAAAATTAAGAAATATAGATAAAATACCTGTAAGAAAAATTGTAATTATTCTGTATACCTCAACATGAACATCTTCTTAAAATGACCACAAGTTCAAAGATAACATTGGCAGAAAAACAAAATATTAAATTTTTAGCAATATGAGATTGATTAAGCCCAAAGACAGTAATATAACGCACAAACTAATATTGAAAGAAGAATATATTAATAGGAAACACACACACACACACACACACACATATATATATAT